TTGCTCAGCAGCTCATGCTATACTTAATCAAATGCTCATCTAGTTCTGAAATTCACTTTTGAAATTTAAGTCACAGGAAAAAAAGAAAATAAAACAAACAGAGCATTTTTCACCTGAGAGTAAAAACAACCCAGACAACAACCCAAACACAAAAACCTCATGATATTGTATACTGCAAACATGAAGATAAATAAAGCTTTTCCTCGTTTAAACTGCATTTGGAATATCCTAAACCATCAGTTAAAATGACAAAAGAACACAGCTACCTGAAGCCTATGTAAAGAATCTCTCTTTAACAGGCTTTTAAAGATTGTAAGCCAGAGCATCTAAAAAGCACGTCCCTGAATAATTTAAGCCTCCTGGCATCTACTTTGAAAGAGCTCCTCTGCTAAATCTGGACGAAAAAAAAAAAAAAAAAACCAGAGGTAAGAGGAAGAAAAAAGGTTGTGAAAGATCAACGATAAAACCACTACTAAAAAACTATTTTTCCTATCTCAAAGTTTAATCAGGCATGGAGGAGCACGGATTTTTCACCCAGCCCTTCCCATTTACTGTCAACAGCTGTGGTCTAACATTAACATTTACCCCTTGGCAATGTTAAGGCTGTGATGGTCAGGGAAACAATACCGGAACAAAACGAGAGAAAAGGAAGAAAACTCAAGAATGTGAAGCACAGCACAAATCCTCATTAGCAGAAATGCAGTAACAAATAAAAAGCAAAAAGACATTTTATCATTCATTTTTAAATGGGTAACCTATATTTTAGGGCAAACAAAGAGAGAAAAAAAGAACCAAACTCTGGAAGAACAGACCAATGTAAATGCATATTATTAAAACAAAACACTATTATGCTATTAAGACAACAGGCAATCTGGTTCCATGCAGAGTAATCCCCGTTTATAAGCAATTGTACCAAGGTTGAATTACAAATCACTGTACTGTTGACAATACCAAGTTTTCTCTGCCAACTACATCCTTCAAACATCAGCAAATCCTACCTACTTCCTCTTGTGTCTGTCATAGAAACCATCCAAACAATGGGAGCAAGCAATCTTCACCTCAACTGCTATAGACTTCGAGCAAATTGAACATTCATTTTTATCCCTAGATTGAGAAGTCCTTGCTGTTCTACACTATCTGAAAGCTTTGCCACTGATTACAACCTGTTCAGGATCTGGCTCCTCCTCAGTATATGAAAATGGACTTGAAACAATACGAAACCTTATCTGAGGAAATAAACACAGGTCACCCTTCTCAACACGTGAATACTGACTTTATACGGACAGAAAACCAGCTTAACTAAGTCTTATGAATTGGGTAGGAATTTAGAAAAAGCGTCACACACAGAACTCTGATTTTTTTAAAAAAGAAAAGCATTAAACTTTTTGGAGAAAGGAATTTTTCATTTTTATTTTACAATTTTCATGTAATTGCTAAAATAAGAGTCATTAGGAAGACCCCTGAATATATAGCAAAGCAGGTCAGCTGAAGTGTAGAAGTAGATTCAGAATGGGGCAAAACCACCCTGCCTAACACACAATTTCCAAGTAAATGCTTGTAAAAGCGATTCCTCCCTCTTTCTGTGGAATTTTTATTTCTTCTGAGAATGGAAATGAAAGAGTAAGTAAATTACAGTATTTTAATATGCAATTACAATATTTTTCCAGTGTAATTTCAAGCTGAAAATAATCTTTCTGATATACATTTTTATCCCTTAGAAATCAAAAACTTCAGTCATTGCAGAAATCAGGTTACAGGAAACTAAACTGCGATTTGGTTTTGTTTTTCAAATTTCACCCGAACAGGCTAGTTGTTATCTATTCTTCATTCCACTCAGTCTGAGCTAAATTACAAAAAGGTTCTTTGTGATAGGTGTTCAAAGTTTAAAAATATTTAATATAAAGGTCATACAAGACGGACAAGATGGGGCTTTGGAAGCTGTGACAAAAAAAATTAGGTTCGGAAGTGCAGATATTTCTAAGATTATTATGGTAGGAAGGACCTCTTTCCAGAAGACATAATGGAGTAACAAATAAATTCAGCTTTAAACACGCAAAACAAAATTTAAAGCATGAAGGGAAAGCTTGACATGCTGGATCCTTAGCTAGTAGAAATATGCATAATTCCAATAACATCAATAATACCACATGAATTTATGCCAGCTGTTGATCTCAATCATAATATCTAAAGCCCACAGCTAACTATATATATAAAAATATATATATATATATCATGTTTGCTTTCTGAAAACCGATTGAAGTTTAATAGCATCTCATAATTGAAATATTCACGGTCCCAAGCTAGCTTTGAAGTTAAATCCCTAAGTGGATAAAGTGGACTCTATATCTAATCTAAACTAAATGTTTCCTTTAGTTACTAATACCAGAGCAGTTTCTCTAGTTAAAATCATTATTACAGAAAAGAAATGCAAAACCCATGTCTCTTTAAGGGGCATTTAATCCTGCCCTGCCCAGCACTAGGACACAGCACATGATCTCGGCAGTACCAGTTCCTCCCTGACTGTCTACATCTTTGCTTCAAGAAATGACTAATTTAGTAATTTCTAGGGAAGAAAGTTTTAACCACAGCTTTCCTGCACTGCTGGTGTTCCTGAACTTCCTTGCAACTCCATTCAATGTTTCAGGCTTCAATTTAAGACCACAGACCTACGCCAGGTTTAAAACCCATTTCTGGAACAATGAAGCTAGAAATAAAAGGTTACTAAATTTTGCACCTGGACTGCAAATGTAACTGATTCAGTGGAGCACTTCAGTTTTCTTTACATACTCTGCACAACACACACACACGCCCCAAACTATATACAGCTCCATAAATGAAATTTGTGTCGCAAACCACAGTTTGGTTGCCTCTGAAATGAAGCGGCTCCAACCTCCTTCACTGGTTCACATTTCTGTCCTTCACCATTTTTGGCTCGATTAAGTGTATCAAACACCAAACCTGTGAAAGCTTGCCCATTCTCTCCCGTGTTTTAAAAAAAAAAAAAAAAAAAATTAAAAAAAAGCTGGCCTCTGCCAGTAACAAGGTGAGTATTGTACAGACTTATAGATTATATATATATAGTAAGTCATTATAATAGAGTTTGAAGGCAGGTTTGGATCCTAGACAAAAGAGTCAAAATTATGCTACTTCTGCAGCACTAATTTCCCCATAGCTTTGGTTACGCTGATCTCTGTTCCAGTTTTGCAGAGCCCACAGCTACATACATTATATCCAAGTATATGTCTGAAACTCCATAACCTTTGCCAGAATAATTCTCCAGGAAGCTATCCTGACCTTTACTTAAGATAAAGAAACCAACTGAAATGAAGAAATAAATGTTCCTTTGATAATACTGTGTAAGCTGTGCCTAAGGAACTTTGAAATACAACAGCATTAATAAAATAGCCATATTAGGAGAATTTCTTTATCACCAAAAGCAGTGACCAGCTTCAATGGGGCTTTTCATTACAGTTCACAAATTATTTTCCAAGAATCATTGACTTGTTGTGTAACGATAATTGTGGGTTAATAGAAGCCCTAATTGAACCTTGTACTCTTGCACAAATGATGTATGCATACATGACTATATTTGGACACAGGTCTATGGATGTAGGATAATGTAACTGATCTTAAACTTACAGTATAGTTTTGGATTTCATACTATAATTTAATTATAAACGAAAAAAAGTCGTGGTCTTTTCACCGCTGACTTCAAACAACCAAACTGTTACAACGGGCAACTTTAAAAGTGACTACGATTGTTGCTTCGTATATGTACAGGCACTTCTGCAGAAAAACAAAAGTAAATTGTTGCTGTGCGCGTATACTATCAGAGTCCAAGGGATGAAATAATTTTTTTTTTTTTACTTTTTTCCCCACAAAATGTTGTTATGAACACTCTCAATAAATTATTTTCATAACACTCTAAATAACTGGAAAAAACAATCCTCTAAAAGAATCATAAGAAAACAAGTCTGAATTTGTTTTTTGGACTAAAGACTGTTTTAATGCAATTCCTTCTAATCTCTCTACTTTTAATCCTAACGTTTCAGTACACAAATGCTGTATTTAACAGCTACCTGGTTTAGTGAACTGCAGTAATTCACTCTGATAGGATAAATTATTTAAGTTATTTAGCAAAACAGAAATGCTACCATGCGCTCTGCTGCAATCAGCAGACACTGTTTAGAAGACACCTCTGATGATGGAGAGAAGCCTTGCCATGAGGAAGAAGGATGCATAAAGAAGCCCCAAGAAGTCTGTTACTTGTCAAACAATGTTTCCCATGCAATTTCTTTACTACGTCCTTGCAACTACTCAAAATCACAGAACAGCAGGTACAGCGAAGGGGAGCCAGTGTTTAACAGAACAGTAGCACTTCAGCAAGTAAAGGCAAGATTTGTGGGGTACAGGCTAAAAAAAGTAAGTTTGGGCACATGTTGAGTAAAAGTAGCAAACAGTGCAAAGCATCCAGCTTAACACAACCCCTGCTTCTTCCCATCAATTCAAAGGGAGAATTTATTTGAGCGACAAAATGGCACATGTTAAGATGCCTTAAAAATGCTTCAGCAGTGGCTCTATTTGATTACATGAAGAATGTTATTTATTTATACACAAAACATACTGAGCAGCCTGATTTCTGCACAGCCAAGCTGCCTCCTATGTCCCACAATATCTGATCCATACCGGATCAACACGCTCCTCTCCTCACTCTACAAACAGAAAAACTCCCTCCACCTCCACAACTGAGTTTTTCCTTGCTTCCCTGGGGTTTGGGGGTGGGAATTGCAGGAAAGGGTCCCCTGCTAAAGGTTACAAACAACTTCTTTTGGCTGCACATCAAAACTCCACTTGCTTTATCTATTCATTGCACTGATGTCACCGACCAGCAAAAGGAGCAATCACATGACTGCAGATGACACAATAAACAACTATGAAGACCCAAATATAAATACACAAATACGTATTTTTAAGAAAGTGATGATTCATACTATACTTACAACTTTCAGCCTGATAGTCTGGCACAAACTGCTCATCATTGTCAGGTACCTGAGCTGAAGAAAGGAAAACAAAAAACAAAACAAAACAAAGTATTAAAAGGAGCCATTAAAGCATAAATAAAGATTCTTGTGCTTAATTTGAAGCACAGCCAAGATTAAAACTAGGATTTTTTTTCCTCATTGTTGAGTATGAAAATCAGGCAAGCGCATCATTTTAATATCAGATAAACCCTGGGGTGAAGCTTTGCGGTGCAGTGCAAGTCCAGAGCAGCCTTGGTGCGGAGCGATGGGGATGGGAAGATGCAAAGGCTGGCATTGGCCCTGCCTGCCTCACTCCCTGCACCATGGTCTGGACCAACCATGCCACTGGTAAAACCCAGCAGTGCTCATTTTCAACATATCTGCACAAAAACTCACGCATATTTAACCCCAACTACCACGCTGGCAACTTACTTAAAAGTGATTCCAATTTCCCATGGCAGTCAGCCAACACAGTAGGGGTTTTTTTGTTATTGTTTTAAATAGTAAAAAAACCCCTGTTTTACCAGACCACAGAATTCCTGGTTCAATGACAACTTTTCGCACATCGAAGAAAAGAATTCACTTAAAGAGGCATCATTAACAACATCCATTCACCTTGTGTAAGATCATTGCTTTTAGGGAACTTTCATCACAAACCTGAGCTATAAAATACAATCATTTCATGGTCTACTGATTTATAATTCTGCATCTGTGGTACCCAGTTCCTTTTCATTGTATATGTAAGACATGGCCACCTCTCATACTGTAAGCTCATTTAAACCATTTAAGCTGAAATAACATTGAACGTATAGTATGGGTGAGTAAGTTTGAGTAACTGCAGAACATTACACTAAGAAGCGGCATCCCTGGAGCATGACTAGCCCTGGGTACATCCCAAGAGGGATCCAGCTTACCGTCTCTGAACTTCGTCATCTTGTCCTCAACATACGCTAACTAGAATCATCATAGCAAAGCTGCATGAAATTATGTTTGAAAATATTTCAATTTACACACTTCTTGTCCAAATACAAGCCCATGATTCATATGATCTTAAATTAAAAGTTAACATCTGCCACGATCTGGTTACCCAACAAGATTTGGGAGGTAAGTACTGGTTATATAATCATTTATCAAAACAGTGACTATCACACCATTAAATATGTTAAATGACAAAATACAACTTTAATGCCATTCAGAAGTTTAGGAAGCATATGTTCCCCTTCATATACGTGCAATTGCTATTAAATAGCATTTCTTTGAATTGAAAATACATATTAAATTCTAATTACTCACAATTATTTTTAATGTGGACTACAGTACTCTGCATGAATCAGAACTCCACTCCCTATTCATGAAGTATTTGTAATGACTTAAGTAAAAGCTTTTTCCCTGAGTAACGAGTTCAGAAAGAGGCTCATTATATCAAAAAATTATTTGCTCCCAGTTTTAAAATAAATGTTAAAGTCCTACTGTCTTAATTGTAGCAAATATCCCTTAAGAACAAATGACCTTGGGAGATCTGCAAACACAGATTTTAAAAGACACGTGATTACTCTGACAAAAAGCATAGCTATTGTTCCATTGCTGTTTGGCTTTTTTTAATAACCTATCCTTTTAGAAGAAACCAGTACCTCTGAGAACGTATTAGCTCCTCCAAGTTTGAAGCTCTGTGAAACACATATTTTACCAAACCAAATATTCCCAGTATTTTTGAGGCATTAACTTTCTCATTCCTCCAGAAAAACCACAGGACTTTTACCAAAAATGAAATCAGGGACAATATGACGCCAAATACACTCTGCAATTTCTGACATTTCATGAAATTCACTGCATGCAAATGTTAAGCATTTTCCTTACAAAAACACCAAATATTTGACTGTCCCAGAAGAATGCAATTATGAAATCAAGGTATCCTACTTAAAAATCAGTTCCTGAGGATTACTTACATTTCCAATTGTTTTTGAAGGATTTGTGAGTACATTAAGAGTTAAAGTAATCGCATAAAGTAACATCTTGTTTACAGAAGGCACATCCCACACATTTTTCTTAGGCTATCTTTTATTTTCAAATGCACCAAGGAGGCTAGTATGGCTAATTTTTTTTTTTTATACAAACACATGCTTTTTTTTTTTTTAATATATACATACATGTTAATTTGTGAAACCAGGATGTCTGAAAAAGGCTAAAAGAAAACAAAACCTATCCTGTTGAATTCAGGAGGCTACATTTAGTGATTGCAGAACTGGGACACCAATCTTGTATAACTTTCCAGGGTGCACTCCGTGCACTGAACTGCTTCAATGATGCTTTATTCCACTTGCTTTATTTATTTATGCTTTATTTAACTTGCCTTATTCCATAACAAAACTGTTTCAGAGATATACGCATATATCATAAATGAGGTCCATTTTTGTCCAGCCAAGAGTAAGAAAAAATAAATCTGGTTAAATTGTCATGGAAAAACAGTATATTAGATTAGAGATACTGTCATTAGCACTGATTTGGTCTGGAGTAAACAAGAAAAATATATTTCATTCATGGATCCCTAAAATTTACGAAGGCATATTTAACAGAGATCAAGGCGCATTACTTTATCAGTGCTCTAGAAATAGGTGGAGACTACGCTATCAAAATGTATTCTAAATACAATATTGACATAGCCTTAAAAGCCTCTGTAGGAAAAGGAATACAGCAAGTTAGCAAGTGTTTAAAACTCTGCCAAATATACACAAAGAAAACCCAACACCCAAAAGGTTCAACTCAGGAACATACATTTCCTACTGGAATATAATTTTAGTAGCATCACTACCTTAGAAAAGAGCCCACAAGCCTAAACAAAGAAATTTGAAGGACCCACTAACTGTTGGAAATAAGAATTTAAATTATTCCTTTACTCTGGTATTACTTTTAAACTAGCAGAACTGAAAAGTCACACACCATCATACTGCAGAAATGCAGGCAACCTAATACAGACTTCTTCCACCAGCATCTTGCTATGAGAGGGCAAATCATTGGAATACATCGTCCCATTACTCAAGGGGAAGAGGGCTTTTGAACCTTGAGTTTGGGTCATTACTGGCACGCTTTGCAGCAAATTAAACAGACAGGTAAGACAGTTCAACCTGAATGTCTGAAAGGAAAATATAGCTTGCAGTGCTGCAACTGCCTGCACATTTATATACTTATGCCATTCATTTCCTCTTTTCTTTTATTCACAAATGTTGCAATTCAGCAAGGCTGCCATAAAATCTTCATGTGTCTTCTGTTAACACACTCAACACCAGACACAATGCATAAATCATCAACTTTTTTTTTTTTTTACTTTGTCATTCAGAGGAAAACTGAAAAAGAAACCTGAAATGATCATCTAACTGAATGAGAATATTTCCCTGGCTACTTAATTACGAGGGTTTGAGAAGGCAAGTATATTCCAAAAGACTAACAAAAGGTTTTGAAGGGTATCAAGCACATGGCTTTTACTGCTAATAGCAGAAGCAGCTACATTAGTTCATTCCACATTCAGAGACATGAAGTCTCAGACTCGTGAAGCAGACATCTGCAGAACAAGCTATCCAGCTCAATCTAGATTATTACCAAAAGATTCCTTTTTCTTTTGATAATAGCTATAATGTCTCAGGAGGATTTAGGAATTGTACCAAAATGTTACTGATGATCTTGAGGATGTAATCAGTTTAGATTTTAGTTTCAGTACATACTTAGTTAAAATCAGTTTGCCAAAAGAAAACATTCATGGCACAAAAATACTTGGTTTTAGAGCTCTAAAAAGCCTTTGAAAAGCTGAACTGACAGCTCGTTTTGCAAAGCGAAAGCAATTTGAAAAAAAAAGTTTAAAAAGAGGGCCTGTTAGCTTTCTTTCATTGCAAGTAAACAAAATTAAAAAGTCTCCATTAAGAAGCATCCACGACAAAAGGAGTTAATATTTAATTAAAACCAGCTCTATCCACTGTAACAATGACCTGGAGCCAAACAAGGCAGAAGATGTATGAGTCATTCTTTCTGCCAGTGAATGAGACAGCTGATCTCCGAAGCAATTCCTCAAGACAAGCAGTCAGAACTGGAGTTCTGCCTCCATTCACAAAAACACAGTCCAGCATGAACCATGTGGCCCCAACCACAAGCTTTTCATGTCACACCCTTCCAGAAAGCTACAGCAAAGTAAACTTGAACTTTAGGCATAAACACACAGATTTCACTGCTTTGTCTCAAGATGCAGCACAGACCTGCTGAGGAACTTATTTAATAAATGAAAAGTTAAGCGAACTATAAAGGGCTTAGATTTAACTCTTCCTTCTCCCAATCGCAAACTGCTTCCAAAAGCTCAGCTGCACTCCAGGGAAAGGTGTTCCTGTTTAAAAAAACCAGAAACTTTTCAGAAAAACAAGAAGCTGCAAACCTCCACGCTTCAGTTAAAACTTTATTTTGGGTAGCAGAACACTTCCTGCAGTACTGTGTTCTCTGACCTCAAGCTTCACTTTCAGAGCTGAGAGCAATTTCTTTTAAAATATAAATAATCTATTCAAAGTGGCCAAAAAATTGAAATTGACAGAGAATTATATATGAATAGTAGGATTTTGGCTTCAGCTAAAATAAGACTTCAGGCCTCAACAGTAATGAGTCTATTCAGTTTTCTTTGATTCATTGTCACTTTGGAGTATCTGAAAGATTGTATACATTTTTAGTATTCCTAAAAGAGCTGGGACAGGGGACGGGGGGGAATTTGGTTGTGGGTTTTGGTTTGTTTTTTTGGTTTTGTTGGTTTGGGATTTTTTTGGGTTTTGTTTTTTTTTTTTTTCCCCCTCCATGGGAACAACTGTTTCTAACAAAGCAGCATTCAGAAGGCAAAACAGTGACAATTTTCGAGATGGTACAAAATGCTATTTCCCATAAGCACCGGATCTGCTGTCAAAACAACTCAAAACCCTTTTTACATAAAGTGAGCAGCTCTGACTAATAAACTTAAATGCAGTTCAAAAAACTAGCTCCAGATCTCAAAATTCTTCCTTATGTGAATAAACCCTACGAATACGAAGACGGGTTTGCAGAATCTGCTCTTCATTTGCTGCTATACTAAAAATGAGAAAACAGTTAGTTTAAAAGAACACTCGCATTCAGCATTTCACTACATCCCACATGGTTCAAACCCTACAACGCCTTTGAAAATTATTGTTTTGAGTAAAAGGCATCTACTTTTCCAGCAAACAAGATAAACGTTAAAAAGTTTATTACTATACAGACTTTCAGACTTGCAATTTATGGTGGGTTTATTTCTTTGGGATTTGTTTTTAACAGTACACCCCTTCCCTCTTCCCCTAATTTTGCCTAATTAACTTTTCTGGCTTTTGTGCACCAACATTTAAGATCAAGAGTGATGAGTATTTGAAAGACAAATCTGTAAGATCAGTAGAAGCCAAAAAAACCCAAACCAAACACACAAAAAACCCCCAACAAAAACAACAAACCAAACTGTTATTCTCTGTGCAAAATTACAGTCTTTTTGCTGCTTTGTTGTGTCTGTCCCCACCAGACAGAATTCAGTCATGGAGGCATTAAATTATAATTTCTTGATATTTTTGTTTCTATAAAAATGTGACTAGTTTTTGAATGTGGCTACATAGCATTTGCCTAAGTAAATTTTAAAACTTTTGGCAGAAGAAAACTAGTTAGCCGGAGTAAGCTGCACACATCTTCACGGATAGAAACGAAGCCACTCTAACTAGACTTAATATTTGAAGATCTCGTACTTTCTTTTATTAAAAATAAGCATTTGACAACCAAAACCTACTTAATTTTATATCTCCTCTTTTAAGAAATAAACTACAAGTAAACACCAGCTTAGACATCGCCACAATGCTGGTACACCTTTCATGACAGGAGAACAGAGGACAGAAAATTATTTCCTAAAGTTTGTTTCAAATTTGGATATTAACTATTTGAGAGAAATAACTTACTTTCAGGTACCAGGAGCTGGCTTTTAAATACTGGTACCTTGTAACAGCCATCTACTCAATTTATCTAAGCTGCAGTAGAGGCATGAACTCATTACCTGTAGCTATTATTTCAAACCACTTACTGTTCACTTAACCTCTAGTATTTTTTCCAGTCACCCAAATAAGATTATATTTTATTTTTCAGTTTATTACCACCTGAGATGCATATTATGTATTGGTCTAAGAAGGAGATCTAGCACATAAATTCATTATTTGTCTTTGATTGCGGTGCCTTTTATGTAACTTTAACAATTGTATGTATCATTTCACGATCTTTAACAACAATAGGAGAAACTATTATCTGAAAGAGTCTTTTTAAATAAAAATCAGGTTGGTTAATCTGTTATTCCCCCAAACCCAAGTGCTTTCACCATGGAAAGGAGACTTTCATACACTAAGAATTTGTTCTCTCTCTTTTTATTCCAGAATAAGAAATAACAGCTACGATGATGAGGTAACATTAGATTAATACTGGAACAATTTTTTTCAACTTACTGAACAATTGGTATCTGTGTAAACCATTTTGATTCCAAATATACAGAATCAGTAAAGTAATTTTATAATATTATCATGAAAAAATGTCCTCAAGTTATTTAAATATAAACCAAAAGATAATATCTGAATAATACTTGTCTTGGTCAGCATTAGGTGATTTTAACTATTTCAAGTTTGAAGGTTGAAACAATTCTTAAAGGCTTCCCGCTTTCCATTTCTGACATCAGGAAATACTTATAATCTATATTCTGTCCTGCATAACAATTGACATGAGGAAAACTTATTCAGAGTAAGTTTTACATCAAAATAATTCAGATAATTTCTTACATATTTAATACTACACAGAGTAAGAAGCCAAAATAATTTCCATAAAAATCTAGTATGCCGCTAGTGGAATATATTTGTAAGTTTTCTGTAAGTAGTATTCAGCTTGTTAATTATGGAGTAATAAAATATTAAAAGAGGTTACTGAATTGTTTACATTTTGGATTAATTCTTTAGTGCATGTGAACCTCCCACCATTTTCAACAGGAAAAGAATACATTTCTTTTGTGTTTATTTGTTTACCACCAACTTGTCACAAGTGATGCCAACGGTAAAAATCTCCAGGCTAAAATATGTGATGCAGTAAAGACAGGTTCAGGAAAAGCAAAACAAAAAAATCCACAAGCATTTTTGTGTGTCAGAAAATGCAATTTAAGTTCTTCTCCTAACGAGTAAGTAGATTTTTGACCTGGTTACTCCTCAGCGGGGATCTGAACTCGTGGGAGAAACCTGGTCAGCTGCCACTGCTTTTCTTAAAAAGGGTCAAGATGTTTTAAAATTTCATGGTCATTTCCCTGGCTCCAGAGCATTATGAAAAGAAATATGTAAACATCACTGATGCTGCCAAATTGGCAGACTTCTAGCCTATGAAGGTCCAGAAGAACATAAATGGACACATCTAGCAACGGGTAAACAAGTCTGATTTCAAAATCTGTATCCTGGCTAAGCTCATCCATGTAGACATTTGAGCAAAGCTACAATACCCTCAAATACTAGCATATTACCAAAAGGACTAACAAAAGTTGTTTGGGGTGGGTTGGTTTTTTTTTTTTTTAAATTGGATCAAGTTAATAGCTCAATATCTAATTTTATCATCTTGAGAAACCATGGTGTGGCCTGAAACACAGAGATTTCTTTAAATATTTCTAGAACACTGAAAAACCTGTAGCATTTACTTGTAATATGCTGTGCAAAAATACAACATTCTTTAGCTTTATTACCCTCTGAGACACAAAAAGGCAACTTTTTTTTCATTTTTAAATACTTACCAGCTGATGCTATCTGCATTAACAAAGGTTCCTTAACCTAACTGACACAGGACTACACAGCTTTCTCTCTCAAAACCTATCTAAATTTGTTAAGTGAAATAAACCCACCTAAAGAGAAAAAAAACCAACCAACCAACAAAAAACCCCAAAAAACCCAACCCCCCTCCCAAAAAAAAAACCACACCAGGCTTTCAAGCAGTTCATTCTAGTCTAAAATAAGCAATGCCCCCAAAATAAAAATTGCCATTATAGTAATTTACCTGCAGAAATTATTAAATCAGTTTTCAATTCCTTACTATTTTTCAAACTTACATTATTATCTGCACATGCATTATGACTCTGCGTGCATTTTTCTGATTTGCATTAAAAAAAAAAAAAAAATCCAGAAACAAAAACATACACGCCAGGGAAAAGTCAAACTAAAAGTTCTCCTCTTCTTCAAAAAAAAGTATCTTTTGAGTAGCTTTTTAACATGCTTCTGGATTGTTAGAATGAATGAGATGATACAAAATAAAGAGATCCATAGGAAAATTACCAGTGAAACAGTTACAGTTTTATCTGATCATTATACTACAAAAATTATCTTAGTACAGGACATTCTGTTTTCAATAATTAGGAAAGAATTGTATTAACTCATAAAAATAAATCCTCTGATCCATTAAAGAGGACTTTTTGATTAGGTACTGAACAACCATATGCTAAAAATAGTGCTAGGTGAATTAAAATGTCAGCAAAATAAACACTACCCCACAACTTACTTACAGGTTAAGAACTTGACTAACTATATATCAAGGTGTTAAAATCAGTATGTAGGCAAATAGTCATCATCGCTACTTCCCTCTTTCTATGAAAACCAGCAGCAAGCAATTTTCCCCAACATCCGTCTTTTCTCTTAAGAAGCCTAACATCTATTCTATAAACAACTGTGTACAGTCCAGTACATGATAAAAATTAAACACATGTGAATACATTATTTTAAATCAGGATAAATTTGGAGAGATTATGTATACTTGCATCAAAATCATATTTATTTCAGATACAGAAGTTTACATAAAAATTTCAACCAGAAATACTAAGACAATGCATAAAAATCTTTATGCTTCAAATAGACAGTATTGTAAATATCAAAGAAAAAAATCAGAAAATATTGCTGAAGGGAACAAATACACTTCAACAAACAGAAAGCTACCTTGCATTTTATTAAAGTTCTTTTAATGCAGCAGCTCTTTTTTTTTATTGTTAAATGAATCTCTCAACAGCTACTCTAAATTCAGATTTCTACATTATTGTTCTTAAACCTTCTCTCTTTAGTAAAATGTGCTCTGCAAAATTATTTGAAATACTTAAAAGCAAAGCAGGTGTAAAACAGACCAATGCCAGCTTTCTAATCACCCAGTACACAATCTCACAATTACAAATATAAAGACAAAAATGACATGCAAAATATTTAAAGGTTTCTGAAAAGAAAAAAAAGGAAAGAAATAGTACTTTTTAAGTATTCCATACACACCTAATGTTCTGTGTTGTGAACAAGGTGGAAAGAAGACACTTGCACTTAAATCTTGAAGCATCCCGTCCCGATGAACCCAGAGAAACTAATTTCTGCCATCAGAAAAGTACTCCACCAGAACACCAAATAATTATATGTGCTGCTCTAAAGGAAACAGCAAGCCCAGTTCTGGCTGTATGTAGTCTCTCGAGGTACAATAATATAAACCTGATCAATTGCAATTAAAATCTGAACAGAGGCTTATAACTTGAAGTCTTGGTGCATTAGTTCTTGCCAAAAGCAGATGTGATTGTGAGCTGGAAGCAATTTCTCCTGGTAATTTGTGATGACACTGGGTAGAGCAGCCCCAGAGTCCCCAAAGACAAACTCATCAGAGGCTCTAATGTATGCATGACACATGAGGTGGCTCTTTTAGAGCTCAATTAATTGGGCTGAACATTAAGACAGCAAGTTCAGGACTTTTTTTTTTTTTTCCCCCTCCAGAGTTGTTTTTCCTCTTTTTACAAGCAGTTTTTTCCCTTACCTTCTGCAAGCCATGTCTCCTGTAATTGGCTAAGATCTTGAAAGAGTTCTGCAAAAAGATGAAAACATGGATAAGACTCACACCTTCAATTCCTTTCTAAGATTAAAACATGCTCACAGACACATTTCTCCTGAAAAGCAATGTATGCGAATTCTATTTTGGCAGTCAAACATGCAGACAAAGTAGATGTTTTCAGGTTGCAGTTAATGATTTTTCTGCATCTGTTAATAAAAGAGAAATACTTAATGTATTATTTTATCAACTCTTGAAATAACCACCAGATCTTAACCAAGTTCTATAGTATAAAAGGCTCATTCAATAACACAGAGAAGTTCAAAATTATAATCTTTCTAATACAAGTGAACTATTTCTCCTTATCAATTCAGGCCTCCTCTGAAATATCTCTCCCAGATAAAGCTCTCCTGGACTTCATCGGGGGTTCTGTCTGAGCAAAGACTAAGTATTTTTATCACTAGACTCGCACCTATCATACAAAAATTTTGAAGCGAAGACCCAAGGTGCTGCAATAGCAAACAGAAATGGGAAATCTTTTGTGCTTCCCATTATGTTTTACTTTGTATGACAAGAGAATCACCACTATTTCCTCTATGCTGTTGTCACTGTATTACTTTAACGTGAAACTACTTTCCCCATGGACTGAATTTTGCAGCAGCTAATCTTTTTTTTGCAATTCACTGAAATCCGTGGCTTATAATGGGTGCAAACCAGAACAGCATTCAGCTTACTTACAAAGCTCAAACACAGTCTTACAGAATTTATAAACTAAGTAGGATATTTGAACTGACAAATGGTTTAATTTAACGTATTTTGAGAGACTTCCTCTTTTATGAATGCTGACAGATAACTGTTTACACACACTTAAATGATAGAGGCTATTCATTTATCCTGTGGACTGATACCTCACATTCAAGTCTGAGAAATCACTTAACTGAAAATCAGAAAGTTGTTTGCAATCTACCCTAGAATAAACTTTTCCAAACAAGTAAGTAGTGATTTTGAAAAGTGCCTCTATGTGTCCTCACCCCGATAAGATTTTTATATGGCTAAGTTGTAGGACCCTATATACCTTCCCGTACGTCTTACGGACTTACAGGGGTGTAAGTGTAGCATCTACACTGACACTGTAACCTAAAGAAGTGTTAACTGCTATCCTTAGACTACAGTTCTCAAGCCACAATCATGTGAGTGGTACTGATGGGACTGTTAGAAATCTTCAGCCCTCCAAAACTTTGTCCACCCTAAACATCCCTAATCAAATTTCCCAGGATTTTTAATCCTACCAGTTGTTAAACAGTAATAAAAACAGGCTACCAGACAACAGGAGCCTGACTACTAGCCCTACAGTAATGCTAGACAGAAAACCCAGTCTCCACACCAGCATTCTTACTCCTGCTACCACCAGTGAACACACACCAATGAAAAGGATGTTAAAAGGTGGAAGGAATGAGGAAAGCCCTGAATCTCAAGAGGCCTGAAGGTGAAAAAGCCAGGTGCCATAACTTCTGTCAGATGCTGCAAAGGCTTGGCCTCAGTACGACATCCGCATGCCACATGTGCAGCAGTACCTAAAATGCAACAGGGTAAGTCAACGAAAAAATACCAACTGTATCAGTTGTTGTCTTTGCCAGTCTTTTGGTGTTTGGGTTTTTTGGGGGTTCTTTTTGTTTTGTTTTGTCTTTTTGTTGTTGTTGGGTTTTTTTCCCCTCAGTAGTAAATGCAGTTTTCTTGTCTTGTTTATTCAGATTAATCTAGATACAGTTATCTCCTAAATAAATAACTAACTCTCAAAAAGCTTCTCTGCATTAGTAAATGGGGGGGGAGGAAGAGAGGGAGGGGGGGCTAAGGTGGGGGGAAGAAGGAACAAGCCCTCACCTTCTGAATCATGAGCCAGGTCTCTGTTAATGAATTTTCTTTTCCTGACATTTGTCGGTCTCTCATTACAGTTTCTCCCACGTGGATTCTATAAACAGGAAAGATCAGTTACTTCAGAAATCTGAGGGGTTGGTTGGTAGCATTTTTTTTTTCATTTAATCAAGAATACTCAAAAGCCAGCATGAATTCTTTACATTTTCAAACAGGGAAATGATTGGCTTGCAGCCTCCAGTTTCTAGCAAAAGATATTGCTGAGCACCTAACATCCTCCGAAAGATTCCTGTATCTAAGTGCAACACATTTCTATGTATCTATGTAGACATCTATTTGTATAGATACATATATAATATGTTCAAGCAGCAACACAATACCAACATGTGCTTTTAGCACCTAAAGCAGACGAACCTATACAATAGCACATAAAACCCCTCTACATAAGCTATGCAGGAGAACGCAGATATGAGATTATAACAGACTGCTTTGTTTCCCCATGTTACTTGTAACATGGTCTGCAAAGTCCTGAACAGAAAAAGAAGGAAAAAAAAAAAAGGGAAAAAAGTTAACGTTTGCCTCAACTTTATTCTTCTGACTGTTGCAGGCAAAGGCAGCCAGAAACTTTGAATGCAGCTGCTGCTGCTCTTGCCTCTCTCATCCGCTAACCATGTGCATGATTTTTTAATCACCCCAAAACTGTCTTTAAAAGAACATGATGCTTTATTAAAATAACTAAGAAGATCGGCTCATCTTGCCGGCAAAGCTCCCAGATGAGAGTCGCCCCTACAGTGTTAACAAAGCAGATACTCAGTCTGCAAAACTCCCTCACAGAAATAAGTCGGAGTGAAGTTTATAAACACCAACTTTGAGCCGATCACTCACATTGGTGACCATGTAAGGCACTTGCTGGTCATAAAATCCATCCATTCTGCAGCTCCTCCACAAGTCTTAGCTCAGTGTTTTATTTACTGGGCATTTGATCTGGAGATTTCCTCGGGATCTGGACTCCAATCAGCCTAGAGGGGTATACAAGATGGCTTTTAGATTAAAAAAAAAAAAAAATCATGAATGAACTGCTTGAATTTGCATAGCTAATTAACCCCAAAGAGTCCCATTCATAAAAACAACCCTCCCTTCTCTGCCTTCACCTGGGTTACACGCTTCTGCCAGGAAAACACGAAGCAAAAGCACTTCGAGGCAGCAGCAGAAAGGAAGGCGAGAGGCAGGTTATTTACACTCCCCGC